GTTGTAGTAATAGAACCTGGTATTCACAAAGACTAAACACTGATTTCGACTGGGAATTTAGCCCGGATCCCATGGTATAGGAAGTTAAATTATTTCACCAGCAATGTAATAGAAGACACATAATAAAGCCACAATCTATTTAGGAGGCGGTTCAGCCAGCAGAGAAGATAGGGCTGATTAGATAGATTGCTTTTACCCAGATGTTTTCCGTTCGGTTTTATCCAATTACTACGTTGGATGGTTGCACCGGATGAAATTAGAAACCTTGCGGTATAGCTGAATCTATATTTAGGAAGCAAACGTATATGTTATTACAAAATATTTAGAATAACATTTTCGTCCGACAAAATCTATTTCTTGATTTCACAAAAACATCCACCAAGCACACTGAGCTAATTGAAAAATTCATTCGACCAAATTAATTTTAACGTTCTTTCAAATCGCCCATTTTAATTATGATAACGATCAAATTTAATTGTCGTTTTTAAGAGGTTTATGCAGGCGCTTTTGACTTGCCACGAGCCATCGTTCCAGAATTCTGTTTCCCCCCTCAAATTACATTCTTAAACCATTTCAAAACATTATAGATTAGTTGCAGGTGCATCATAACTTTGATTCCAAACATCGAAGGACTCGATACTAATATAGGACTCGATATTATGACTACAGAGGATAATGTGTCTTCAAATAATGTGTTTTATCCTCCTACGTTAAATACTTTGAAACTGTAGAGAGCTTTTTTCAGCAGTATTTCCGGAGCACTAAGATGTATTTCTACCAACGCTAAAAATTAACATAGCATATTTGCAGTAACCATTATTCAATAGTTTTTCTGAGGGATATTTGCCAGAATCGATCTACGTATTAGCTGAATTTCTTACCTTTTGTAATAATTAGGTATCCGTTCTGTTGGTGGTAAGCGTGGCTAATTTGATTTTGACACGAGGTAACAGTTATCCACTGACATCAAACATATCATATACCACTTTGAGAAACGACGCACAAGAACATATTTTTTTTTCATAGAAATATGTAGATTAAATGATTAGAAGAAGAAAAAATTCAATAATATTTATAATTTAAAAAAAAGTTACTTTTAGAACTAGAGAGATCCAATTAAACTTTACTCATAAATATATAAAAAAAACATCAAACAACAAAAAATCCACTCCGCACATGAAAAGCTTGTGGTCAAAGAAAATTCCGGCGTAATCAAGGGCATCGATATTTGGGCTTCAAAAATACCCCCATCCCTACCGGCGGTAGTGTGAGGTTCTATTTCTGGAGGTCCCACTGAGGCCCATTGGCCAAAGAGACGTCTTTAGTCTTAAAACAATACAGACTTTATTGCCTGTTTTAGACAAATCTTAGAGGAGGACAAAATTTTTTGGTTATTTATTTATAGAGATTAGAAAATAAATTTTCAATACACAGTTCATTCCTTTAATAATACACATAGCCGTATGCTAATATCACGTTCCTCATGGCACACAATTGAGGCATATCACGCATTACTTTATATCTCCAATCTCTTGAAACTTTTGCATATTTTCAGATACATGCATTTCTAAGCGAAATTTACCTAATTTTGTTTGGTTTAAATTATCTCATTATGAATGATGTTTAGCGCGAACTATTCCCTTTTATTCTGTACATATTATTTTGTCTTAAACAAGTGCTTTTTTTTGTTTTCCCCCAGCAGCTGGGGCGCGGTGACGTCAAAACGTGGTGTGAGGCGCTATTTTGAGACGCGCGTAGGCGTCTAACTCCCCAGTTTCGCGCACAGGAGGGTTAGACCCAGAGCCAGGGAACATGCGTTAGCATACTGATTATACGAATATTCAAAGATGTATGAAATTCTGTCAAAAATTATATTCATCATAATTTAATGTTTATTTATTACGTAATTTTACTAAGTAAATATCTGTCTTAAGGGAATTTTTCATTTGGAAATCCCTAGGATATTTTGTTAGTTTCTAAATACAGTTACGTTTTTTTTCTAATTAATATATAGTGTCTAACTTTTGTTAGTTTTCTTAGCAGTGGCGATGTGTCTACTAGCTCTTAGACATGTAAGCTTAATCGACTAAGTTCGGGCATCAGGGCTGAGCCCCCCACGTATTGTGAGCTCCTATAGTACATAGAAATGAAAACGGAATAACGAATAACTTTCTGAATGAGACTACATCATTTAATTTCTTTTATATTTTTTATTGGTGGTAGGACCTCTTGTGAGTCCGCGCGGGTAAGTACCACCACCCTGCCTATTTCTGCCGTGAAGCAGTCATGCGTTTTGGTTTCAAGGGTGGGGCAGCCGTTGTAACTATACTCGAGACCTTAGAACTTATATCTCATGGTGGGTGGCGCATTTACGTCGTAAATGTCTATGGGCTCCAGTAACCACTTAACACCAGGTGGGCTGTGAGCTCGTCCACTGATCAAGCAATAAAAAAAAATTACGGTCATTGTCATTATCATATAATAGTATATTTGTTGAATCAAAACTATATTCATATTTTCTGTAGACACCTTCAAATAAGTTCATTCGGTCTTAAATGGACTTCAAATAAAATAAACAGAGGGTTATAATATTTGAAGTGTATGTTTCTGATGTATCAATCAGTCTGTCTGATAGTCAGCTACTAGTCAAAGTATGGTGATTATGAAAATTAAAAACGAGAATCTATTTTCAAGAGAGTGTGTTGAGGGGCTAGCTCCAACAGCATCCTGGCCATGATATTCTCTAGATTAGATGGACCTTTTCTGAATCATTGCACAGAGGTCCACAAAATTTGCCCGTAATGCCGCTATTGCAATCGTATTTTTTTTTATTGCCCTTGTAGGCAGACGAGCATACGGCCCACCTGATGGTGAGTGGTTATCGTCGCCCATGGACTTCAGCAATGCCAGGGGCAGAGCCAAGCCGCTGCCTACCGTATGCATGTATGTACTATGTATGCTGTTATTTTCTTTTATTACTGTGTCCTTACTGATTTATTTTTAAGAAATAGCTGTTACTAACATTTATATGGATTATTATCTGAAATAAAGAATTTAATAATAATAATAATAATAATGTCAATTCGTTCGGAAACTTGAATGGGAATAAAGTTCAATTTTCCTGAAAATTTTACGGTATTGTCGGGAAAGTTTCCTTTTGTCTTCGCGAGTGGTCAACTTTAAGCTCAACCGTCGACGGCGTTTCAATGATAAGTTAGAATGAAAGTTTTCTAAAGTTTTTCTTGGAACATCAGCTGTATTATTACAATGAAACAATTCTAACGCTAATATTATTATTAAAGCGACATTTATGAATAAAAACTGTGCGGGAACAGAAAAACATTTGAAATGAATTAACTTGTTACAGTAGTTTTTATCTCATCTGTTAGTTTTCTTTTAATCTGAGGAACATTTAGGAGAAATCTTTTAGTTTTTACTGTAAAATCAAAACGGACGCCAGATTATTCACATTTGAAATCAGTATTATTAAATGTATTATTTTTATAATTCTTCAAAGCCTTATTTAAAATTGTCTCCAAAATATTCGATAGTTGTATTTAACACAGATATTCACAATGCAAAATCAAAATAAACGTTATTAACGTATGTATTTAGAAATAAACTGAAAGCATACGATGACCTATCAGATGATAAGTTGTTACGGTAGTTGGGTTCCTTTTTTTTGTTTAAATTGCTCTACATGATTAGAAGAAGCGGAGCATAGATTCGTGACGATAAGTGGGACCTGAGGTCTCGATTATTTTGTATTACATTGTTTCATCCCCGACATCTTTGTTTCGTTGCAAAATAGGCAGGACTGCGGTACACGTCCGGGCGGTGAAGTGACACGGACAAACCGATAGACACAGCCCATTGCGAGCAACTCTCGCAGGATCTTGTCAGTGGGTCACGTTTCCGATCCGGTGGTAGATTCTGCGAAGCACTGCTCTTGCTAGGGTCCGTGTTAGCTACACTCCGATTTGAGCCCCGTGAGCTCACCTACACACGTTAGGGTGAAGCTGAAATAGCCTCTCAAGCCCACAGCACAGGTAGGAAACAAAAAGGAATAAACAAAAAAAAATTTCGCCTTAGTGTAAATCTGTCACACAAACTACCCAAATATAAGTTTAGGTCTATTAATTACAAACTCAAAGTCCAAGGGCAGAATATTCATTCGTTGTGTACTCAGTAATTAAACTTGTCTCAAGGTCGTTCGAGACAAGCTTGAGTTTCAGATCGCGTTGAATCTAATAACACAGCGGGAGATAGAACGAAATCCCTTATACAGTGATATTATAATTAAAAACCTTAATTACCCTTTAATTTTGCGTTTTTTACTGTTAATACACCATTTCCGATCGATCCATCGAATACTTTAAGTGTAAACAAAAAGGGCGAGGTTATGCCATAAAAATAGTTTTAATGATGTCTCCGACCAGAAAAAGCCAAAAGAAAATCATTTTATGATTATCTAGCATACATTGGGTAGCTCCAGGTGTGGTTGCTCACGTCATTTCGGATCCTCCCGATCCACTAACGGTGCTTTTAGGTACCTCAAGCACCGCTAACTACGCACCACCGAGTCAGACAATATAACAGTAGTACATATTTTAATGATAGAATAGGTCATATATCAATTGGTTCGACATGTTGCGAATCTTGTTAAATTTGGCATATTTCTGTAGCTAATAGCCTATCTAATTGAAGCACTTTACTGTGACTAAGAACGTCATCTCGGATCGTCCAGATCCATTTACGGTGCTTTTAGGTACCCCAAGCACCGATCATCGCTTTTGTCGAATCCGTCGCTTGCGACGAAGGGCTCGACGAGTAAATTAACCCACAGACACAGTCCACTGAGTTTCTCGCCGGATCTTCTCAGTGGGTCGCGTTTCCGATCAGGTAGTTAGATAGATTCTGCGAAGCATTGCTCTTGCTAGGGTTCGTATTAGCAACGTCGTCAAGTTTGAGCCCCGTGAGCTCACCTACAAGCTCGGCGAATCTAGAATAACCCCTCGAGGTTACTAGAATATGTAGGAAAAAAAAGTGTGGTTACGATTTCGCTCACCGGCTCGAAGGTTGAACAAGACGTTATAGTAAATTGTTACTTATACCTCACGGAGATCGGCATTGAGCTATGGCGTCTATGGCCTTACCGCCAAAAATATTACCAATAATTAATTTACGATTAAAATAAAGTTAAGTTAAAGTCATGCTTTAAAGAAAGAGCTGAGATCTTTTTGTGTTATCAGTTCACATTTACCTTGAACCAAGTCCGGATGGGTATCCCAAGGGCAAGGGACTCCTTACCTGTAACAAAAAGGTCTAAATTAATTAAAAGGGAAAAACAGGATTAAAACTCAGCATTCATAATTCGAATTCGTTTTAGGGAAATGTTAAAAGGCCTTTTATATTTCGTGCGTACCGACCGTGAGAAGATGGAATTTTTCGTTCAATTAGACGGATGGTTTTAGTTAATTGAGATGTATTGTAATAGTCATTATATTATTTCCGATATTTCCGATGTACTTAACATTTTTCTTGTTCACACGGACGACTCTATGTTATTCGGAAATAATATTATAACAACAAAAAAAAGCGAAAGTAAATCGTAAAAGTAGCTTATGCCTATTCGTGCCGTGAAGCAGTAATTAGTTTCGGTTTGAAGGGTGGAGCAATTGTTGTACTGTAAAACTGAGAGTTAGCACTCATGTTCCAAGGTGAGTGGCGGCATTTACTTTGTCTATAAATACATCTTCTGTAAGCTTAGCCAATAAGTACTAGGGAAGACGATTTTCATTTAGATGCGCGGATTGGTACAAGGGTATGTTTGACGGTCCCGACCATGTGCCCAAGAGTTGTTTTTAGAGCGTACCCACCAAGCGACACCTCTTGCACTCTCTTATCCGAAGTCTAATTTCCGCCCGGGGTAGGGGGGTTCCCGCGGTCAACTATAACCAGACTCCACGCACCACGCCTGAGATGATACTTAGGGATACATTGAGTCAGGGAACTCTGGTAAATAGCTTGGCATTTGGCATGCTATAAGGTCGAGATGACGATTCTAAGAATAGAAAGAGGCAGGAAGGTGACCGCTTGACCCTAAATTTATTAAATAATACATTTATTTTAAATATATTGAGCCCCGAATATATCACCGATTCGTCTCAGTGGTGAAACTCTACACCGAATCGGTGATAAATTTACATACATTTGAAAGGGCTTGTAAATCTGTTCAGTGTTTTTTCCTTATCACTAACACACAAATTTAAATGTAGTCCTAACTTCACACAACAATACAAAAAGGGCAAACGAGTTTTGCTCTGATGCCTTCAATACCGAAATCATGGTTGAAAATCGATTCTGTTTCATCACGAACATAACTCACTTCGTTTCCATAACACAGAAGAAACAAATAACTTCGGCAAGTACCCGTTTGTCTGATTTACGTGCCGAAACAAATTCTCTAGTTGGAGTTGGCGTTGGGTCGTCGAAAAGATTCCGGGCCGTTGTTCCGCAAGTACGCGGACTTGTTCGACTAATTGTAAGTAGTTTGTGAAGTTAGTATCGGGGTGGCAGACGCAGGGTCCGTGGGAGGATCTAATCATATATTAAGAAAGTTTACAGCTCGCCAGAGCGCGGCGATGTCTACAGTGTGTAAGTAGGTTTGTTGTTTGCGAAATCTTCGAACAAACTGTACCGGATTAATTATTATTTAGGTCTTCATAGGAATATTAACGAATTCTCGATGTAGTTGAAGGTTATTGTGAATATAGCTCATTAATATAATGGCTTGTAGATTAAGTATCATTTATAAAATATGGCGTCTATCTGTGGCCTAAGGCAACTTGTTTCTTTGTGTGAGGGATACGCCAAATCACACGGTTTGGTGTACAACTGTAAAAAGTCGGAGATCATGGTCTTTGAGACCAGGGGTGGGACGCATGATAAAATACCTCCCGTAGTACTCAACGGAACGCCATTGACAAGAGTTTATAAATTTAAATATCTCGGCCATGTGTTGACCCCTGATCTCAAAGATGATGAAGATATTGAACGAGAGCGGAGAGCGTTGTCGGTTAGAGCAAACATGATAGCTCGCAGGTTTGCACGGTGTTCACTTAAAGTCAAGGTCACCCTCTTTAGGGCCTACTGTACTAACTTTTACACGTGCAGCTTGTGGGCTGGATATACTCAAAGATCGTACAATGCTCTCCGTGTTCAATACAATAACGCGTTTAGGGTGCTGGTGGTGCTGCCCCGCTTTTGTAGCGCATCAGGGATGTTTGCAGACGCGCACATAGATTGTTTTTACGCTACCATGCGTAAGAGGTGTGCATCTCTGGTAAACAGAGTGAGGGCCAGCTCCAACAGTATCCTGAGCATGATCGCAAGCAGGCTGGACTGTATATACATGGGTCGCTGTGGTGCCATCTCCCATGGGATGTTACCACAGTAATTCATTGTGATGTAAATATAACTACTAACATAGGTCTAAGTCTTATTAACAATTTATATGAGTCATGGATACTTGAAATAAAAACATTATTATTATTATTATTATTATATTAATATAGATAAGTAAGGTAAACTTAATGTAGATGAGATTTTCCATTCACCCAACGTCTCAAATTTGTTTTTGCATAGGGCGTTATTCAAAAATTCCGGTCACCGTCCTCGTCAAACCCGTCGCTTACGACGAAGGGCTCGACGAGTGAATTAACCCATAGACACAGCCCACTGAGTTTCTCGCGGGATCTTCTCGGTGGGTCGTGTTTCCGATCCGGTGGTAGATTCTGCAAAGCATTAGTTCTTGCTAGGGCCAGAGTTAGCAACACTCCCGGTTAGAGCCCCGTGAGCTTACCTACACGTCAAGAAGCTGAAATAGCCTCTCAAGGCTATCAGGATAGGTAGGGGAAGAAAACTCAAAACGACGATGGAATGAATCCACCTTCTAAAAGAAATTAATGATCATAAAAATAACCATGTCGTTTCTAAGGGTTCTTAGCACTGGGTTTGCCTTCACAACACATCAAAATTTCATCGCGAAGGAAACCGCAGCGACGGTCTAGTTCATGATAATTAGAATCCGTACGTGGTACAAAACGGTCGGGTCGGATCGACGTAATGGATGTAAACTATCTTAACCGGATTAGCTCTCTATCAACAACGATCAGCTTAATAATTGGGACCGCGACGAACATGCGACGACATAGTGATATCACATGTGTCCGAACAATAAATCAGTTTTACCGTAGCGTCGCCAACTAACAAATTAATGAAGTTTTTTTTTATTGCCCTTGTAGGCAGACGAGCATATCACTCGCCTGATGGTGAGTGTTTACCGTCGTGTGGACTTCAGCAAAGTCAGGTGCAGACCCAAGCCGTTGCCTACCGTTGAGCTATTATAACTCTGTTCGTTCCGTCTATCTAACACTTTGGCACTTGTTTTAGGATGCATTATAAGTCAAACGAGTAGGTATCGCAATGATACGTTCTTCTTAGTTATTACTGACACATAATGAAATATTTTTCTGACAGTACCATCAACACTCGGACCGAGCGATTTTCACAAATTGATTCTGCTAGATGTTTCTCGAACCTTGACCGGATTTTATTAGTTCGATATTCTATATTGTTTGCCTACGAAAACGAGCACACAGCTAGCCTAGCGGTGAGTGGTTACCATCACTCATAGATAATAACTTTTCCAAGCACAGCGAAGCCGTGGTATACCGCGCAAGAATTTTTTCAAACCACATTGAAAGACTTGTCCGTATTCTGCGCTCACATAAAGAGGAGTCCAAGCCATAAAGTACCTACCTTCCTGTCTACCTGATAGAAGATTTCTGGAAATGCATTGTATATCAGCGCAATGGTTCCAAGGAGGTATTCTGCAGAATTATCCCTATTCTTGTCTCTGTTTGAATTATTTGTTTAACCAACAAATGCGTTATTGCGGGGCCCGCTCGGGATCGCTAAGGAAATGTCGAGTGGTTTAAAATATACAACAATTAATTTTATCGAGCAAACGAGAATAACAAACCTCTCCTTGAAACCGGGCTTCTAAATAAGTACTTAAATAGTCAAAGAATATACGCGAAGTTTTTAAGACAGAATGCATACGTGGGCTTTTTTTCACTATTTAGTGACCATTCGGTACTGAGTTACGTTACAAATCATTGGGAAGATAATTTGAAGTAAATTCAAACTGAGACTAAGAATTCATGTTTCAAGATTGGTGACGACATTAACACGATTGATATCTATGGGCAGACTACTTAAAAGCAATAGAGTTCGTCTATCTATCTTAGCAACATAAACAAACAATCCACCCAATAAGACGTACTAAAAGCGAGTTAAAAAAATCGTAAAACCAAAGATGTTTAAGTATGACGAGTAGGTATGTATAAAGCTTCGAGCTTCCACGTGAATATGCGACTTCGTTGTGCTTGCGTTTAATTAAAAGCCGGTTTAATCAAAAGCTTTGTATCCATATTTCTAGAGAATATATTAACAGAGTTGACGTGAATATTTTATGTACAAGGAAGAAGAAAAAATTGAGTAAATTGACTTAAATGTCGGGACATTTCACTGACATTGGGGGAATTTTGCGGGAAAGTTTAATGTTTCAATAGTGTTCGCTGACAGAGCTGTTTTAAGAATAATACGCATCAGGAATTTATTTAATAATAAAAAATTTTAGGGTATCTTTTATGGGATATGATTTAATGGGATTCTTTTATGAGAATAAGTGTAACATTCAGAAAAATGCGAATTCTGAGAATTTCCTATGATTTATCTGGCTATTAGCCAGAAGTCACGGGTTTGCGCTGTTGGTCTTTTTCAGCATTACTTCGAAGCAGTACTCACTTTATCTGATCTACTAACTTATTTTTATTTTTTTATAGCACTAAATGGCCGAAATGGATTATCGCGACCTTTATAGTTCAATAAACTGAAATAACATATCATTGTCATAGTCAACGTCCACGAACATCACCGATCTTCTTACAGCAGCCTGAACATACCACAGATTAGGGTGATACATCATATTTTAGAATAAGCCTTGTTGGTAAAGGTGAAAAATATATGGTGATCTTCTAGATGAATAACAAACAACATTCACATCAAGAAACTTTAGAACATTAATTGAAACTAAATTAAAATTATAAAAAATACGCACAGCAAAAAACGACAAACACACGCCCAACATCGATTAACATAATTAAACCCGCACCTTACAAAAAAAACTTGGAATTGGCCCACATTCATAAATTTATAGAGACAACTGGACACTCGCTTAAATG